GTGCGTTTTTTATTTTTTGCACTATAAACAAAAAAAACTACAATTTTGAGAAAAAAAAACCAAAACAATATTTTTGACTTTTTACTATTAAACATGTCCAGTCAAAAAAATTTTAAAAATCAAATTTCGGCCTAAATTCAGGGCAAAATGTATTCTGCGCCATGTCTTTGCTAAAAAAAAATCCCAATACGTGTAAATGAATTTGGTTTGCGTGAAAGTTATAGCATTTACAAATGGCGGTATAGATACTGGGAGTTTTAATTTTTTTTTTTTTTATTAGTAAGGGGGCGATCAGCGACTTATAGCGGGACTGCAGCGGACATTGTGACACTGGGGGGAACTGACTTGGTGTCACTGACATCCCCAGTGACACCAATACAGTGATCAGTGCTAAAAAAAAAAAAAGCACTGACGCTGTACTAATGGCACTGGGCAGGAAGGGGTTAACATGAGGGGCAATCAAAGGGTTAACTGTGTGCAGGGAGTGTTTTACTGGGGGGCGGGTGTGTGTGTGTGATTCACTGTAATGACACTGCTGTGGATGGCTGTGCTGTGCAGTGTGCCAGAGCTGATAGGGAGGAGGATGTGACGGTCGCGGCGTCAGACCCCTAGCCCTTCTCACCAACTCGTGACCGAAGGACTAGCCAATCTAAAACCGCGGTGTCACGTGCGTAACAATACCATGCTCAGCTGCATCCTGCAGAAAGATTTTCCAGCTAATGGACCACAATCTATGTACCGCAGCCTGAGAGCAATTGTTACTGGGTCAGGTTAATTACGCAATTAACTCTTCACACTGCCACCACCTCCTTTTTGTACAGAGAAACTCACCAATCTTAGCAGTAACACTATGATGTTTGAATAATGGTCTGTATACACACCGCAGGCAGATGTATATAGAGGTTTAAAACACACAGTAGCACTCTTCAGAGACAGGGATTCTTAGTTTGCATTAAAGAGCTTTAGAAACAGTTCAACACTTTTAGAAAGTAAGATTTATTACTAAAAGGTCAAAATGGCACAATAAAATTATTTACAGAAAAAAGATGTAGCCAATATACTGTATATATACAGTGGGGATCGAAAGTTTGGGCACCCCAGCTAAAAATTTGTATTAATGTGCATAAAGAAGCCAAGGATGGAAAAATCTCCAAAAAGCATCAAATTACAGATTAGACATTCTTATAATATGTCAACAAAAGTTAGGTTTTATTTCCATCATTTACACTTTCAAAATAACCGAAAACAAAAAAATGGCGTCTGCAAAAGTTTGGGCACCCTGCAGAGTTAATATCTTGTACTGCCCCCTTTGGCAAGTATCACAGCTTGTAAACGCTTTTTGTAGCCAGCCAAGAGTCTTTCAATTCTTGTTTGAGGTATCTTTGCCCATTCTTCCTTACAAAAGTCTTCCAGTTCTTTGAGATTTCTGGGCTGTCTGTCACGCACTGCTCTTTTAAGGTCTATCCATAGATTTTCAATTATGTTGAGGTCAGGAGATTGTGAAGGCCATGGCAAAACCTTCAGTTTACGCCTCTTGATGTAATCCCCTCGTGGATTTCGAGGTGTGTTTAGGATCATTATCCATTTGTAGAAGCCATCCTCTCTTTAACTTCAGCTTTTTCACAGATGGCATCAAGTTACCATCCAAAATTTGCTGAAATTTTATTGAATCCATTTCTCCTTCTACTCGTGAGATGTTCCCTGTGCCACTGGCTGCAACACAACCCCAAAGCATGATTGATCCAACCCCATGCTTAACAGTTGGACAGAGGTTCTTTTCATTAAACTCTGTGCCCCTTCTTCTCCAAACGTACCTTTGCTCATTCCGGCCAAAAAGTTCAATTTTAACCTCATCGGTCCACAGACCTTGTTTCCAAAATGCATCAGGCTTGTCTATATGTTCATTTGCAAAGTTTCAAACGATGATTTTTGTGGTGAGGACGTAGAAGAGGTTTTCTTCTGATGACTCTTCCATGAAGACCATATTTGTACAAGTGTCTCTTTATAGTGGAATAGTGTACCACAACTCCAGTGTCTGCCAGATCTTTCTGGAGGGATCGTCGTGCAGTCAAACGTGGGTTTTGAATTGTTTTTCTCACAATCCTGCGAGCTGTTCTGTCTGATATTTTTCTTGGTCTTCCAGATCTTCCTTAAACTTCCACTGTTCCTGATGACTGCCATTTCTTAATTACATTCCGAACAGAGGATATTGACATCTGAAAATGCTTTGCTATCTTCTTATAGCCTTCTCCAGCTTTGTGAGCGTCAACTATTTTCAGTTTCAGTTTTCTAGACAACTGCTTAGAAGAACCCATGGTGCTGATTGTTGGGGCAAGGTCAGATGAGTCCTGGGCACGTTTTTAAAACCTTTGAGCTTGACATCACCTGGTCTTCCCAGACGATGATTGAGAACAATCCATGACACTGGCAGGTCTCAGCTTTGCAAAGGGGGCAGTGCATGCTATAAATTCTGCAGGGTGCCCAAACTTTTGCAGACGCCATTTTTTTGTTTTCTGTTATTTTGAAAGTGTAAATGATGGAAAATAAAATCTAACTTTTGTTGACATATTATAAGAATGTCTAATCTGTAATTTAATGCCTTTTGGAGATTTTTCCATCTTTCCTTGGCTTCTTTATGCACATTAATACTAATTTTTAGCTGGAGTGCCCAAACTTTCGATCCCCACTGTATATATATATATAAATACGGAGAGCATTACCACAACAGAGAGATAACAGAAAGAAGAAGTTTAGAGAGGTAGAATACTTGCCGTCAGCCTTGGTTTAAGCAGCGTTCAAGTGTCAGAGCAAAATGGTGCCTTTTCTCCCAAAGTTGGTTCCTGATGTTAAAAGGGAGATCTCTTCAAGTTACTGTTCCAAGCATAACAGCCTTTTTCTAGGAACCCAGCAGGGTGTCTCTTTAAAGCAGAGAACCAATCGCCTCATTTGGGGAGGGGTGTTTTAGTCGGGTAACTCAGGCTATAACCAAATCCCTCGCAGTTTATATCATGGTCAATAACCTTCCCTAGGTACATGTAGCAGCCTAGCCACTAGTAGATTAATATGCAGAATGATATCCTGAACGTCCAGACATCAAATATGCCATATTTTCCTATTTCAGCTAGAACTATATGGCTTCCTACTCTCCTGTAGACTTTAACTAGGGGTGTAAGATATCAGGCGACTTGCATTAAAATGACCAATCTGAATATATGTTTTGCTTTATGGTATGTATTACCTACGAGAAATTATGAAATTGTATGAAAAAGTGTTTTCACATGGGATATATGTTTTACTGCTATCCTGGAATGCTTTTGAAGTCCAGTGACTGCCGGATTTATGGCTTTACGATCAGCTTCAGAGCAAGAGTTTGCCAGACACCCTGGAATCAGCTTATTGGGTTTACAACCATGAAGGATATCCAGCAGTGTCCTGTGCACTTCTGAACCCAGCACACAAGGACCACGTGTCACTCAACAGAGAGGGAGGGGGGAGCTCATTTGGAGTGAGAAATGATACAAGATGGAGGGTCTTTACCAAAATGGATGTTCATGTCCATATTTGTACGTACAATTGCTACAGAGGACTATTATTAAAATTGGTTTACGTGAAAGTTATCACCCTCTATCTCTCATCTCTCACCCCCCCCTCTTTCTTTCTCTCTCTCCCTCTCTGTCACCCCCCCCCCCCCCTCTCTCCCTCTCTCACACCCCCTCCTCCCCTTCTCTCTCTCTCACACCCCCCTCCTCCCCTTCTTTTTCTCACATCCCTCTCTCTCTTTCTCACTCCCCCTCTTTCTCACTGCACATCTCTCTCCCCCTTCTCTCACTCCCCCTCTCTCTCTCTCTTAACCCCCCTCTCTCATCCCCCTTCTTTCACCCCTCTCTTTATCACTCTCCCTCTCTCTTACCCCCCTCCCTCTCTCTCACCACCCTCTCACCCCCCTCACTCTCTCTCACCACCACCATCTCTCCCCCCTCCAGGGGAAACTGAGTAGACACTGACTGACAGGTGGCAGGAAGTGAGTGTTATTGATCCCATCCCCCCATGCAATGCCACTCATGCCATCAACCCCTCAGCACTGCCACTGATTACACCCCCCACCTTCCCCAGCATTGCCATTGACCCCCCCCCCCTTGCACTGCCACACATCACATTCCTCCCACCAGCACTGCCACTGATCACACCTTCTCCCCCCGCAGCCCTAGCAACCAATGGGTGAGCAGTAATGATGTGCAGTAACTTTTAGCAACCAATCAACAAGCAGAAATGATGTGATTGTAACCTCTAGCAATAAATCAGTGAGCCATAATGTGTGTTGTAACCTCTAGCAACCAGTCAACATGCTGTAATGATGTGCTGTAACCCCTGGAAAGCAATCACAATGGCGGTCTGATCTGCTGCAGGAAACCGATTTCAGTTTAGGTGCTATTTATTGTATGTCTTAGAGCAAGTGGAGAGCGAAATTGCATGTGAGCAGGGGGAGGGGGGTGGGGGGGCCCAAGAAAATGTTTGCCCATGGTCCAATCAATATTAAAAACGGAATTCAAGGAAGGAAATGTGTGGGATCTGCACAAAGTTCACAAACTTCATAATGATTCAGATTAATAGGAGAATGGTAGAAATATAGTGGTACCTCGGTTTACAAATTTAATGCGTTCTCTGGAACGTTTCGTATTGCGAAAAATTCGTAAACTGAAACGCGGTTTCCCATAGGAATGCCTTGAAAAACACCTCCACAATCGACGCCATGTGCTACCCACAGACTACCCACAGACTCCAGCATGCACGGGGGGCGGCGCTATAAACCTCCCAGACGCAATGCATCCTGGGGAAACTTGCATTATTTTCAATGGATTTTCATTCGTAAACTGAAAATTACATTAACTGAGGCGTAAACTGAGGTACACCTGTAATTGAATTCACTAAATCCGTTCTCCCCGGACCTGCATTCACTATATCCGCTCCCCCGGACCCTGCATTCACTATATCCAATCTCCCCGAACCCTGCATTCACTATATCTGGTCTCCCCAGACCCTGCATTCACTAAATCCGCTCTCCCCGGACCCTGCATTCACTATATCTGGTCTCCCCAGACCCTGCATTCACTATATAAGCTCTCCCCGGACCCTGCATTCACTATATCCGGTCTCCCCGGCATTCACTATATCTGGTCTCCCCGGACCTGCATTCACTATATCCGCTCTCCCCGGACCCTGCATTCACTATATCCAGTCTCCCCCGAACCCTGCATTCACTATATCCGGTTCCCCGGACCCTGCATTCACTATATCCGCTCTCCCCGGACCCTGCATTCACTATATCCACTCTCCCCAGACCCTGCATTCACTATATCCTGGTCTCCCCGGACCCTGCATTCACTAAATCCACTCTCCCCAGACCCTGCATTCACTATATCTGGTCTCCCCACATTCACTAATCCGGTTTCCCCGGACCCTGCATTCACTATATCTGCTTTCTCCGGACCTGAATTCACTATATCCGCTCTCCCCGGACCCTGCATTCACTATATCCGCTCTCCCCGGACCCTGCATTCACTATATCCGCTCTCCCCAGACCCCAGTAAATATAAACTGCTAAATACCTTTTCTCATCAGCAGCATATAGCAGTCTTGTGACTTCCATCAGTGTCCAGCCGAGCACTGGTTAAAGCTTCTAGGAGGAGTTTTCATTCTGCTCTAGGAGGATGCAGAACCCCTGACCTCTGCCTGGACAGTGCTAATTGGCCCTGTGCTGATCACATGCACTCTCCCAAGAAAAAAAAAAAACCTCTCTAGCAATAAACGGTAAACTGAGCATGTGTATGATGGGTTCAATCTGTCTTATCAGGAGACTGGACTTGGACATTTGAACAAGAGGAGGGGCAGAGAAGACAGGATCAAACAGCATTTTTACACAATGCAGAGGATTAACCCCTTAGGTTCCACAGTGAGTATAACAAACATGCTTTACTGCATATATAGACTGATTTTACTGTTGTGGGTTTAATAACACTTTAATACAAGGCATTCTCTGATTGGACAAGGTGGGGATCGTGAAGTCACCACCCCTCCTGTCCACCTCATCCCATCAGAAAATGCCTTGTATTCTTTGAAAAAAAAAAAAAAAACATTTTATGAATGGCCGAGCAAGTGACTTCCTTGTGGTCAGTGTGTAGAGGTGCTCAGCACAGGATCTGGGAGACTGTGGCTATCACTGTAGTAGCGCCGACTATTACATTGATTGTTAGCTGCTACAGAGGCCCTTCAGATATACATACTTACATTGTGCCAAGCTCGACCAATGTAACTATACAATAACTATAGATCAGCTTTAAAGTATAACTAAAGGCAAAACTTTTATAAATTAGCGTAAAGAGGGATTATTAGGTTTTTGTTGCTGTTTGTGCCCCCGTTAGGGAAATTCCCCATTTCAATTTGCGTGAAAACCTAAGTTTTTGAAATCTACCAATAGGAACATGAGTTCTGGTGACAACCAGGGATTCTTTCACTTTGGAAGGATTTCCTCTCACTTCCTGTGTGGCTATGGGACAGGACATGAAAGGGAAATCTCCTGAATAGGACACAGATGAAAAAATTACAAGGGTTATAACCCTCCCTTACTGATTCCCCCCCCCCCCCCCCCCCCCCAAAATAGCATTTAGTTCTACTTTAACCCCTTCCCGCCTGTGCCCTTTAAGGGTTTCAGAAGCCGGGAGGCGGGGTCATGGCGGTCACATGATCGGGATAGGTCCGGGTCCGGGGAAACCGTAGATGGTGAAGGCAGGGTCCGGGGAGACCAGATATAGCGAATGCTTGGTCCAGAGAGACCAGATATAGCAAATGCAGGGTCCGGAGAGACAGATATAGTGAATGCAGAGTTCGGGGAGACCAGATATAGTGAATGCAGGGTCCGGGGAGACCAGATATAGTGAATGCAGGGTCCGGGGAGACCAGATATAGTGAATGCAGGGTCCGGGGGAGACCAGATATAGTGAATGCAGGGTCCGGGGAGACCAGATATAGTGAATGCAGGGTCCGGGGGAGACCAGATATAGTAAATGCAGGGTCCTGGGAGACCAGATATAGTGAATGCAGGGTCCGGGGAGACCAGATATAGTGAATGCAGGGTCCCAGGGAGACCAGATATAGTGAATGCAGGGTCCGGGGAGACCAGATATAGTGAATGCAGGGTCCAGGGAGACCAGATATAGTGAATACAGGGTCCGGGGAGACCAGATATAGTGAATGCAGGGTCCAGGGAGACCAGATATAGGGAATGCAGGGTCCTGGGAGACCAGATATAGTGAATGCAGGGTCCGGGGAGACCAGATATAGTGAATGCAGGGTCCGGGGAGACCATATATAGTGAATGCAGGACTCCGGGGAGACCAGATATAGCGAATGCAAGGTCCAGGGAGACCAGATATAGCGAATGCAGGGTCCTGGGAGACCAGATATAGTGAATGCATGTCCAGGGAGACCAGATATAGTGAATGCAGGGTCCGGGGGGGAGAGCAGATATAGTGAATGCAGGACTCCGGGGAGACCAGATATAGCGAATGCAAGGTCCAGGGAGACCAGATATAGTGAATGCAGGGTCCGGGGAGACCAGATATAGTGAATGCAGAGACCGGGGAAACCAGATATAGTGAATGCAGGGTCCGGGGAGACCAGATATAGTGAATGCAGGGTCCGGGGAGACCAGATATAGTGAATGCAGGGTCCAGGGAGACCAGATATAGTGAATGCAGGGTCCGGGGAGACCAGATATAGTGAATGCAGGTCCGGGGAGAGAGCAGATATAGTGAATGCAGGGTCCGGGGAGACCAGATATAGTGAATGGAGGGTTCGTGGAACACTTTAATTGAAAAATATACAAGGCACCATAAGAATGGTGGCAGTGCTAAGTGAGTGAAGCCATGTGGTCAGTGTGCAGAAAGAAAGCCACTCAAAAAGAACCCCAGCAGGACCTGGAAGATTGCAGCTATCACTGTGGTAACACCGACTGATTGTCAGCTTCCCCAACAACTCGTTGGGTATGAGCTATGCATACTTACAACGTGCCAAGCTGGACCAATGTAAGTAGGCATAATAAGCAGTTCCTGGAGTTCAGCTTTAACTCCCAGCACCTTAAACCTCGTAAAGTGGTTGTAAACCCTTCCATATACCCAGTGAAGAGACTGGCCTCAGGTGATACACAGAGATTAAACAAAACCTCCTACATAAGTTGTATCTGTTTATCTTCATTATTATCTTCTCTACATTCATTCAAAGTGCTACATTTATAAAGCTTGTATGAGAGTTCAGAAAAAAGGGGGTGGGGAGCTGACATTACACACACTGCAGTGCTCAGTGAGGAGAGCTCTGAGAGCTGATTGGAGGGAAGAGACACACACCCCCTCCACACAACTCACAGGAACAGAGCTGAGGCTGTCAATCTGGTGAAGCTCCGTCCTGTCACCATTTTTCTCTTGGTGTCAGGAAAACGTGTCAGAAGTGATTCATGCTGATAGCAGAGGAGCAAGGCAGCAGACAGAAATGACATTTAGTGCTCTTACTTGAAACAAATACACAATTATATGTGGGCTGTGCCTTGTTCATATTTCATATCCAGTTTTGTTCATATTTCATATCCCAGTTTTACAACCACTTTAAGGGGTAACTCTATTTTTATTTATTTTAAAAAACTGATATACTGTACCATAGTTGCTACAAAAGCCATTTTTGGGTAATTTAGTGTTAGAAATATTACAGTTCACTCTACTGTCAGCTTCTGGCAAAAAAAAAAAAAAATCAAACACGCTTCCTTCTATGGTGGCAATTAGTTCATGGTTGGTTGGTGTACGGTGCCACCCCAGAATTGGAACTTCCTGCTCATGTGATTGGTTCTCTTCTTTTGCTAGCATTTCTCTCACTACAATATTGGCATTGATCACATGACTGTGGAAGGAAGAACATCCCACTCTGAATTTAGGAAGAAACTGGAAGAATTGGAAGTAAGTGGAATCTGTGTGTCTCTTCGTACTTTTTAGTAAAGTTTGCTTTAAAAATTCTTATAAAACTGACTAGAGGGTGATTTTTTTTCCCTCTCCATCAAAGTGAATTTGCCTTCCCAGAGCTTTTCTCAGGTTTTGGAGATGTCAGTTTTTGTTCTAAATAACAATTTTTATGCATCCTATTTTCAGGACAAATGGAGCTTTAATTTCCTAATATATTTAGGCACATATTTTTACTTGATATGTTTTAACTAGGATTAAAAAAAAACATACATTTACCAGTGGTTTTTACAACACCGTTCTTCCATAAATAACTCAGCACCAGATTTATACCCCAAAATACAACTTATAAAGCCATCAGACTACAAATATAAATGGGAATTTCTGGTAAATGGGTCTCGAAAGGGTGCACTTGATTCACCCATACTTGTTCCAGTGGTTCCAGTGGTAGTCAATATCCTGTGCAGCAGAGACACCTTCTCCTGGAAGTTGTAGTCTTGTAGTCAGTTGGTGTATAAGCTCCTTGTACCACATTGACCCCAATGTAAAGATTGCATTGACTTTGCCCCCCATGTATAGGACATTGACTCTGACCCCCAGTCTAGAGGACATTGACTCTGACCCCCAGTGTAGAGGACATTGACTATGACCCCCAGTGTAGAGGACATTGACTCTGACCTCCAGTGTAGAGGACATTGACTCTGACCCCCAGTGTAGAGGACATTGACTCTGACCCCCAGTCTAGAGGACATTGACTCTGACCCCCAGTCTAGAGGACATTGACTCTGACCTCCAGTCAAGAGGACATTGACTCTGACCTCCAGTCTAGAGGACATTGACTCTGACCTCCAGTCTAGAGGACATTGACTCTGACCTCCAGTCTAGAGGACATTGACTCTGACCTCCAGTCTAGAGGACATTGACTCTGACCTCCAGTCTAGAGGACATTGACTCTGACCCCAGTCTAGAGGACATTGACTCTGACCTCCAATCTAGAGGACATTGACTCTGACCTCGAGCGTAGAGGGTATTGCCTCTGACCCCTGTGTAAAGAGGGCATTAACTCTGATCTCAATGTAAAGAGGGTATTAACTCTAATCTCAATGTAAAGAGGGTATTAACTCTGATCTCAATGTAAAGGGGCATTGACTCTGAACCTCAATGTAAAGGGGATACTGTTTCTGACCCCCAATGTAAACAAGGCATGACTCTGACCCTCAATGTAAAGGAGGACTCTGACCCTATTGTAAAGAAGGCATTGATGTAGCAATCATGCCACAGAGATGGATGCGGTTCAACCATTTTGGCTCCAACCTCCATCTTGGCAAAGGATCATCCATCTTATACAAACATATCTCCCCTCATTCTCCATCTCCCTGTCTGAGAGTCACAGTGACATTTGGTTGGTGTGTGTGTGTGTGTTGGAAGTGTCACAGGCCGGCCAGGGCACAGCAGATGGCTCCGAGCTATAAACCATCTTTGAGCTGGGTGCCAGGCGGGCTGGGAAGCTGAGCAATCTGGCACCTCGTAAAAAGATAACCCAAGCCTTCCCCTGAGTTCAAAGACATTCCAGACGAATAATAGACTAGATAACACTTTTGAAATCGATTTTTCCCCTATGTCTTATATCTTGGAATATGAGAGACTTACATAAAAACCAGGCCTATCTTCAGATGGCCCACGATTAGACAAATCGTTTGATAGGTCACACTCCCTGACTGGAATACCTAGGAAAGCAGAAAATTACATCTCTTGAACCCTTCAAGTATGTATTTCATATTTCATATGCAACCGTTCCTCAGATGCGTCTGCATACTAATCTACCCGCGGGTGGAATGGTACTTGTGCCTAGGAAAAGTTATGAGCCAAAATATGAGTTATGAGAGATTTTGGTTCTAGTTTGGGTCTTCGCCCAGACAATCCATCCCCACATGAGGCATTGGTCCTTGGCTTCAGAGACACCCCTGCTGGGGGACTACAAAATAGGCTGTCAGGCCTAAGAAAGGAAGTTGAAGAATTCTCCCTTTTAACATCAGAACCACTGTGGGAGACGTGCCCTTTCGCTCTGAAACTTGATCTGCTTAACCCAAGGCTGATTGGCAAGTACTTTAACCCTTTAACCTCCTTTCTGTTACCTCTTTGCTGTGCTATTGTTCTCTGTATATTTATATATATTGGTTACATCTTTTTTCTGTAAATATTTTAATTGTACCCTTTTGACCTTTTAGTAATAAATCTTTCTTTCTTAAAGTTGTGGAACTGTTTCTAAAGCTCCTTATTGCAACTTACGAATTCCTGCCTCTAAAAGATCGCTACTGTGTTTGTTTAACCCTCTGTATAACCTTGCTGCGGTGACAGTGCTATACAGACGATTATCTCAACCATCATAGTGTTATTGCTGATATTGCCGAGTTTCCTCTCTGTACAAAAAGGAGGTGGTGGCAGTGTGAAGGGTTAATTGCGTAATTAACCTGACCCAGTAACAATCGCATTCAGGCTGTACATCGATTTGTGGACCATTAGCTGGAAAATCGTTGTGCAGGGTGCAGCTGGGCGTGGCATTGTTACGCACATGACAAGTTTGGTGAGAAAGTCAGGGGTCTGATGCGCGATCGTCACAATTGACTCTGACCATCAGTGTAAAGAGGACATTGACTCTGGCCCCCCTATTTAAAGAGGGCATAGACTCTGACAACCGGTGAAAAGAAGGCATTGACTCTGACCTCCAGTGAAAAGAAGGCATTGATTCTGACCACCGGTGTAAAGGGGGCATTGACTCTGAACCCCCAGTGTTAAGAGGCCACTATGTGACCCCCAGTGTAAAAGAGGGAATTAACTCTGACCCCCAGTACAAAGAGGGCATTGACGATGCCCCCCAGTGTACAGAGGGCATTGACTCTGACTCCTGTGTAAAAAGGGCATTGTCTGACCACCAGTGTAAAGAGGTCATTGACTCTGATCCCCAATGTAAGGGGAGAAGTGATTCTGACCCCCAGTGTACAGAGGGCATTGACTCTGACTCCTGTGTAAAAAGGGCATTGTCTGACCACCAGTGTAAAGAGGTCATTGACTCTGATCCCCAATGTAAGGGGAGAAGTGATTCTGACCCCCAGTGTAAAGAGGGCATTGACTCTGACCCCTGTGTAAAAAAAAGGCATTGGCTGACCACCAGTGTAAAGAGGCCATTGATTCTGACCCCAATGTAAAGGGGGCATTGATTTTGACCCCAATGTAAAGGGGGCATTGATTCTGACCCCAATGTAAAGGGGGCATTTATATAAATACATTTCAATTAAATAAATATATTTTTAATTTTTTTTTGCGCCTGGAGTTCATCTTTAACTGCCTAGAATCTTACATTCACAAGTACATTCTGTATTTGCCTTCATTTCAGTTTACAAAAAGGTGGATGATGGCCTCCCAGTCTCTCGGATCCCATGGAGGGTGCAATGATATGTCACCTGTGAAGCAGTTTTGGTAATAAAGTGTACAGGTAAATTCAACTTTCCGCTTTAGTAACACTAGAGTGAGCAGCGGAAGTGTAGTGCAAGTATTCTGGGAATATAAAAATTGACAAAAACTGGAGAGAGATAGATGGCTCATATATTAATCACTTAGCTGCCACATCATGTAAGAAAAATGTCATTGATTCTGGACATATACTACATTCCTGTCCCACTGAGACAACCTCCAAATGGCAGGTTGTTAGCAGAAGGATACCTCTGTGCCCATCCTGTACAGAAATAATATTTACTCCCTCCCTGGCA